CCCCAAAACCCCAAAACCCCAAAACCCCAAAACCCCAAAACCCCAAAACCCCATTCTATTTTGATAATGTTGAAATTAATCATGACTCGTCATTGCTAAATATACTGATGACCTTCCAACAAACCTGTTCTGCTGGAAAGTATTGTTGAGACTCGTTGGTGGTTCTCTTTCTGCTTTTGGACTCTGCGTATTTGGCTCGGATTGGAAATCAAAAGAACTATGATGCCCGAAGATCTCATCATCTTCTGCAGTGATATCAGCATCGAAATCTCTAGGCTGGAAGGAGCTAGTACCCAAATTTACATAATTTTGATTCTTTTTACAGTTTCTATCCAATCCTAGATAAGGAATTGTCACAATTTCATTATATAGAATGACTCCAGCGATAATGACAATGAAACCTATTAGCTCAAGGTAGTGGAATGATTCTCGAACTCTGAGATTGAAAATAAGAGGAACAATCATAAAAAATAGCCAGATTATGATGGTCCTCACTTGAGTAAGAGTCACTCTATTCGCAGCGGAAGCATGCTTTGTTACAAGGAGTCCAAGTCCGTTCATTCCTCCATCCAATATGATTAGAAGGATCAAGTAAATGACCAATTCTGCTGATCTCGAGAGATGGTTGAAGGCCATCCCAGTATCCTCAACAACTCCATTACTTCACATTCCAGCGTTGCATGGGATAAATTGGAGTATTATGAGCAAGAAGATGTAGAAAATTGTTCCAAGTATTCCTTCCCATCCTACTACCTTCATTGGATGCAGATAATATGAACTGAGCAACTTTTCTTCAACAATGTACTGAACACTCTTTAAAAAGATTGATATTATTAGCAATGGGACTCCTAAATACGCATTTTTAGTTGCAGAATCCTCCTGATTGATCATGGCTTCGATAGCGACTAATAGTATCCCGATGAATAAGATGAAAATTCCAAGCCAGTGGTGACGGTGCTGCTTGTTGTGAAGAAACAGAACTGATAAAACTGCAACTGCCAGAACTAAAAATCCATTTAGCATTTGAACTACACTTGCTGGAACATTAATATATCCAATTAATAGAACATCGTAGAACTTGCTGCGTCGATAAGCATTGGGATTACGAAGATAGCTGGGTTAATCTTGGTTTTTAGTCCACTTGCAATAGCTCTTCTCATTGTCGGACTCTCTTCTATAGAACCATATTTTTGAATAGATTGCCTTTTAATGTAGAGATAAATGAGCATTCAAAATGAATTTCCTATAAACATTGCCAGTGTCTGGAAAAATGGGTGCTCAAATGGTTCGCCATCAACTTCAACGGTATCCATAAACTTGAGAATGATACCATGGGATGAGGAGGCAGCTAGCATTAGCACAATCAAGGTTATTAACCTTATATTGCTAATCGAACCTTCCATAATAAAATTAATTTAAAAAATAGTGTAGTTCAACAAGTTTAGCTTTAAGTGGGGTTTTGGGGTTTTGGGGTTTTGGGGTTTTGGGGTTTTGGGGTTTT